CGGGAACTGTGACCAATAACTGTTGAGCTGCTAACTAGGTCACACGGGAACTGTGACCAATAACTGTTGAGCTGCTAACTAGGTCACACGGGAACTGTGACCAATAACTGTTGAGCTGCTAACTAGGTCACACGGGAACTGTGACCAATAACTGTTGAGCTGCTAACTAGGTCACACGGGAACTGTGACCAATAACTGTTTAGCTGCTAACTAGGTCACAAGGGAACTGTGACCAATAACTGTTTAGCTGCTAACTAGGTCACACGGGAACTGTGACCAATAACTGTTGAGCTGCTAACTAGGTCACAAGGGAGCTGTGACCAATAACTGTATAGCTGCTAACTAGGTCACACGGGAACTGTGACCAATAACTGTTGAGCTGCTTTAAATTGAACCAGATAGTTGACAGGACATTTCACTCACGTACTTAACACGTCAGGAGCCTTAAGTAAGATCCTGAATCTCCTCCCCCACCCCACCCTATAACCATCGATTGTCTCTTATGCTCGTTGGAGCCGTTGCCTCGCCGGAAGCCCCTCACTATTGACTAGAGATCACCCCCGTTGTTTCCACGACTTCCTCCTCACCTCACAGTTCTCGTCTTTACGAGCTCTAACGAGCGTCCCGATGCCTATCGGAATTTCGCGGTCCACCTCTACGCGGCCACTAGCTCAAAATTAGCGCCAAGCAGCGCATGCAGTTGTCGCCTTTAGAGCTTTTTGTTTTAGTTTTTTTTTTTTATTATTATTTTTTTTTAATAACCCTCGAACCAAAAGATCGAGCCAAGTAATCAAGGTCTGATTTCCAAAAATAACTTTTTAAATTAACGTGTTGCTAATGAGTTCAGCGCGGCCGTTCTCATATTGAAACTTCTGTAACGATTACAGATTAACGCAACACACCCAGAGAGATTACAGCTAATGAATACCGGCAATAAATGTCAATTGGTGTGTGTGTGTGTGTGCGTGCTTCGGTTATTACCCTTATCAATGTGACGTCACGGGATGAAGAGAAAATGGGGGGGGGCGGGGGGGGGCACACCGTCCCAAGCCAAACTTTCCTTGTTTTCGTTGCTTTTAAAAACAAATTCCAGTAAAGCTGAGTACGTTTAAATAAAACACACCCATCAAAGTGTGTGTGCGTGCTTCGGTTATTACCCTTATCAATGTGACGTCACGGGATGAAGAGAAAATGGGGGGGGGCGGGGGGGGGCACACCGTCCCAAGCCAAACTTTCCTTGTTGTCGTTGCTTTTAAACACAAATTCCAGTAAAGCTGAGTACGTTTAAATAAACCACACCCATCAATGCAATATAAGTATATTCTACATTCTACCTGAAAAAAATGTCTTCCCTTTCATTACACTGTATCGTCGTCCGATCCATGTAAAAACAGCCCAGGCGACGACCGCGACCCCTGATAGGAAACAGGAGCCTACCTACCCGATCTGCTCTCCCCACCCCCCCCCCCCCCCCCCCCCCAAAAAAAAATTATATAAAGACATGTAACATGTAAATGTACTAAATTTAATATAATGTAATATAATGTAATATAATGTAATATAATGTAATATAATGTAATATAATGTGATATAATGTAATATAATGTGCGTTGTACGCGACACTCGCTCACCCGATTTTCGTAAGCCTCTTAATCAACGAGTGGCAATGGGTTAATCTTAATCTTACGAGTGGCAAAGAGTTAATCTTAATCTACGAGTGGCAATGAGTTAATCTTAATCTACGAGTGGCAAGGGTTAATCTTAATCAACGCGTTTCAATGAGTTATTTTTAATCTATGAGTAGCAATAGGTTAATCTTAATCTTACGAGTGGCAATGAGTTAATCTTAATCTACGAGTGGCAATGGGTTAATCTTAATCTTACGAGTGGCAATGGGTTAATCTTAATCTACGAGTGGCAATAAGTAAATCTTAATCTACTAGTTTGAATCAGTTAATGCTAATCTACGAGTTTCAAGGAGTTAATCTTGTTCTATGCGAAGAATTGAGTTTATCTTAATCTATGAGTAGCAATGGGCTCATCCTAATCTATGAGTTTCAATGAGTTAATCTTAATCTACGGTAGCAATGAGTTCATCTTAATCTATGGGTAGCAATTAGTTCATCTTAATCTATGAGAAGCAATGAGTTCATCTTAATCTGTGAGTAGCAATGGGTTTAATCTTAATCTATGAGTAGCAACGGGTTAATCTTAATCTACGAGTGGCAATGGATTAGACAAATACAGTGGACACACTTCGATTGTATGCTGGGGTTACCTCATGGGACTTTAACCTATTCAAGACCATACGAAAATTTTGTTATTGTAAAGCAAATGTTGTGATTAACAGCCAATGTCGTATCGCGCAATATTGGGGTGTGAATCGGTGTGGAGCTTTCCTCGAAACCTGCCTGGGGTTGGGGGGGGGGGCGGTTAAAGAGCCATTTTGGACTGGTTGATTTAAATAGGCTGAGAAATAATGTCTCATTAAAAAAAAAAAAAAAAAAAAGATTAACAGCCAATGTCGTATCGCGCAATATTGGGGTGTGAATCGGTGTGGAGCTTTCCTCGAAACCTGCCTGGGGTTGGGGGGGGGGGTCGTTAAAGAGCCATTTTGGACTGGTTGATTTAAATAGGCTGAAGAATCATGTCTCATTAAAAAAAAAATAATAAAAATTGAATGATATAACTGGATGCGAAGTCAAATAAACTTTCCCGAAAGTGTCAATGACGTAAAAGTGGTCTTCAAATTTGATACAAAATATATTTTATTTAGCCCCACCCTCCCTCTACTACTCAGTTCACACGATCAAATTTTCGATCATTCATTTTTTTTGTCTAAAGAAAAAAAAATATAACAAAATAGTTAATTCATACAAAAATGTGACGCAAATCTGACGAAAATGTGACGCAAATCTGGCGAAAATGTGACGCAAATCTGGCGAAAATGTGACGCCAATCTGACGAAAATGTGACGCCAATCTGACGAAACTGTGACGCCAATCTGACGAAACTGTGACGCCAATCTGACGAAACTGTGATCGTGTGAATTGAGCAGAATCGTCAATTAAAAAAAAATATTAAGTCACATTAGAAACAATGATGTCCCTATAGCACAGTGTCTGAAACTTCTGTACCGAAGGTTAGAGAACCGTTCCTGTTGCCACGCTGCCCACTGACTGACCGGTTCCCCGAAAATGATTTGGGGGAGGGAGGGAGGGAGGTCAGGGCGCTGTGGAACTGGCGCCGAGTTTTCTTCACATGGGCAGAAGCTGATTTCGTTATCAGCCATTTGTTTGTACTCATTCTCCCCCCCCCTCACACTCACACACTTTCCAACCGTGCTCAATGCACGAATTAGCTTTACCACCTAATGAGTGGATAACTACAGGAGGGGAGTAGTGGTGAGGTGGGATAAGCTACTTTTTATGACGCCAAAACGCGATGCATTTTTCTCAGTCGAGTAAATTAATTGTATATAAGTTTTTTATTTTTTTGGAGGGGTCTCCATTGTGGGTCTTTATAATTCTAGAATCGATTCGAGTCAATGCCTCATTTGCCCATGTTTTTTTTTTATCTCAAGATAACCTGTCTACATTGTCATGCTTGCCCGATAAACAAATCCCAGTCAGTCATCAACCAACGAAAACACAAATCGGGCACTGGCCATTCCTCCATGATATATAGCCCCCCACCCCCCTAACCCAGCCCCGCCCTTCCCCTCTCAAAACCCTCGAGCCCAGAAACTCCTTTCAGTCGGTCAGAACCTGAGTTGTCAGCCCCCTGTGATAAGCGCCTCAGCGCCACGGGCGAATAAGGCGCTGTTTTTGGACAGAGTTTTGGCACTAGCCACATCACCGCTGCACTGGATCTTCGTTAACAGTGAGTGCAAAGCCGTTAGGTAAGAGAATATAATATTACACTGTAGAACGTAATGCCAATTGTTTAAAAAAAACAACGACTTAGGATTTAGGATGTGGTAATGTGAAATCTTTTCCCTGTTGAAATATTCAGTCTCGTTTAACTTATCAAGTTGGTTTTTATTGGCTTCCTGGCGAAAACCGGCTACAAACCCTAAATCATTTTTTTTTTGAAAATATAATATATATATATATATATATAATTTTAACAAATTTAATCCAACATTTTAGTTTATATAAAGTCCACCCACGTTTTGTTTAGACAAGCTGTTAAGACCAGTTGTTTAGACCAGTTTATTAGACCAGTGGTTTAGACAAGTTGTTTAGGTCAGTTGTTGAGACCAGCTGATGAGACCTGTTGTTTAGACCAGTTGTTTAGACCAGTTGATGAGACCAGCTGTTGAGACCTGTTGTTTAGAACAGCTTTTGAGACCAGTTGTTTAGACCATTTGTTTAGACTAATTGTATTAGACCAGTTTATTGGACCAGTTGTTGTTGAGGCAAGTTGTTTTTAGACCATTTTTTTTTTTACACCCGTTTACCAGACAAGTTGTTAGTACACACGTAGATTAGATAATTTTCTTTAGACCATTCGTCGGTTAGACCAGTTTAAACTAGTTGATCAGACCAGTTGTTGTTTAGGCCAGTTGTTGAGACCAGTTGTTTTCATCTATTTCATAATTTGGGGGGGGGGGGAGGGGATAATATTTCGTTTTATGGAACCCCAGCTTGCTATGACATCCCAATTCAAAATTACTGATGGACATTTACTGTGGTACCGTTTTCAGAAAGTTATATTTAAAAAAAGGGGGGGGGGGGGGAGGGGATAATATTTCGTTTTATGGAACCCCAGCTTGCTATGACATCCCAATTCAAAATTACTGATGGACATTTACTGTGGTACCGTTTTCAGAAAGTTATATTTAAAAAAAAATCCAGTTTGTCTAAAGAGCTTTTAAAAAAAAAACCTGCTTTTCATTGAAGTATTGTCATTTAAAGTTTACTAATCTTTTTAATCCCCCCCCCCCTCAGGATAAATAGCAAGGCAATCTATCACAACAATACGCCAGTGCAACCCACTTGGACAGCCCAGCAGACGACCCACTCCAATGGAAGCTTCCATTGCGAAGTGTGACACAGTACCAGCAGTACTGAATGCCAAGTTTTTAACCCGAGTCGACAACATCACCCAGAGTGTGACGTTTGAGTGTCTGGCAGGTTTCTACATGTCAGGATCACCCAGAGTGGAATGTATCAGCGACGTAATAGGCTGGGGCCCGACTCCTACCTGTCACATCATCAATAAGGATACCCACCTGTACACCACCGTCAGTAGGTGTCACACTACTCACTCCCTCATCATATGTCAGGTGTCAAAGGTCTCAGCCTCTCGTGATATGTCAGGTGTCACACAACTCACCCTCTCGTGATATGTCAGGTGTCACACTAGTCACCCTCTCGTGATCTGTCAGGTGTCACACAACTAACCTACTAGTTATATGTCAGGTGTCACATTACTCACCCACTCGTGATATTTCAGGTGTCAAACTACTCACCCTCTCGTGATATGTCAGGTGTCACACTACTCACCCTCTCAATATATGTCAGGTGTCACACTAATCATTCTCTCGTGATATGTCTGGTGTCACTCTACTCAACCTCTTATGTTATGTCAGTTGGCACACTACTCACCAAATCGGGACACTCACTACTCACCCTCTCTTGATATGTCAGGTGTCACACTACTCAACCGCTCGTGATATGTCAGGTGTCACACTACTCACCCCTTCGTGATATGTCAGGTGTCACACTACTCACCCTATCATGAGATTCAGGTGTCACACTACTCACCCTCTCGTGATATGTCAGGTGTCACACTACTCACCTTCTCTTGATATGTCAGGTGTCACACTACTCACTCTTTCATGATATGTCAGGTGTCACACTACTCACTCTCTCATGATATGTCAGGTGTCACATTACTCAAACACTCGTGATATAACAGGTGTTACATTACTCAACCAATCGTGATATTTCAGGTGTCACACTACTCATCCTCTCGTGATATGTCAGGTGTCACACTACTCACCCTCTCGTGATATGTCATGTGTCACACTAATTACCCTCTAGTGATATGTAAGGTGTCAAACTACTCACCCTCTCTTGATATGTCAGGTGTAACACAACTCACTCTCTCGTGATATCTCTGGTGTCACTCTACTCACCCTCTTATGTTATGTCAATCGTCACACTACTCACCCTCTCGTGATATGTCAGGTGTCACACTACTCACCCTCTCGTGATATGTCAGATGTCACACTACTTACCCTCACGTGATATGTCAGGTGTCACACTACTCACCCTCTCATGAGATTCAGGTGTCACACTACTCACCCCTTCGTGATATGTCAGGTGTCACACTACTCACCCTATCATGAGATTCAGGTGTCACACTACTCACCATCTCGTGATATGTCAGGTGTCACACTACTCACCTTCTCTTGATATGTCAGGTGTCACATTACTCAAATACTCGTGATATAACAGGTGTCACATTACTCAACCAATCCTGATATTTCAGCTCTCACACTACTCACCCTCTCGTGATATGTCAGGTGTCACACTACTCACCCTCTCGTGATATTTCAGGTGTCACTACTTACCCTCTCGTGATATTTCAAGTGTCACACTACTCACTCTCTTGATATGTCAGGTGTAACACTACTCACTCTCTCGTGATATCTCTGGTGACACTCTACTCACCCTCTTATGTTATGTCAGTTGTCACACTACTCAACCACTAGTGATATGTCAGGTGTCATACTAACTACTCACCCTCTCGTGATATGTCAGGTGTCACACTACTCAACCACTAGTGATATGTCAGGTGTCACACTACTCAACCACTCGTGATTTCAGGTGTCACACTACTCAACCACTCATGATATGTCAGGTGTCACACTACTCACTCTCTCATGATATGTCAGGTATGACACTACTCAACCACTCATGATATTTAAGATGTCATACTACTCACCCTCTCATGATATGTCAGAGGTCACACTACTCACTCTCTCATGATATGTCAGGTATGACACTACTCAATCACTCATGATTTTTAAGATGTCATACTACTCATCCTCTCATGATATGTCAGGGGTCACACTACTCACCCTCTCGTGATATGTCAGGTGTCAGACTACTCACCCTCTGGTGATATGTCAGGTGTGACACTACTCACTCTCTCATGATATTTCAGATGTCACACTACTCACCCTCTCAAGATATGTCAGGTGTCACACTACTTACCCTCTCATGATATGTCAGGGGTCACACTACTCACACCCTGTTGATATGTCAAGTGTTACACTATTCACTCTCTCATGATATGTCAGGTGTACCACTACTCAACCACTCGTGATATGTCAGGTGTCACATTACTCAACCAATCGTAATGTGTCAGGTGTCACACTACTCACCCTCTCGTGATATGTCACGTGTGACACTACTCACTCTCTCATGATATTTCAGATGTCACACTACTCAGTGTCTCATGATATTTGAGATGTCACACTACTCACCCTCTCATGATATTTCAGGTGTCACACTACTCATTCTATCGTGATGTGTCCATTGTCACACTACTAACCCTCTCGTGATATGTCAGGTGTCACACTACTCACCCTCTCTTGATATATCAGGTGTCACACTACTCACTCTTTCATGATATATCAGGTGTCACACTACTCCCTCTCTCATTTTATGTCAGGTGTCACATTACTCAACCACTTGTGATATGTCAGGTGTCACATTACTCAACCACTCGTGATGTGTCAGGTGTCACACTATTCACCCTCTCGTGATATGTCAGGTGTCACATTAAACAACCACTCGTGATATGTCAGGTGTCACATTACTCAAACAATCGTGATGTGTCAAGCGTCACACTACTCACCCTCTCGTAATATGTCACGTGTGACACTACTCACTCTCTCATGATATTTCAGATGTCACACTACTCAGTCTCTCATGATATTTGAGATGTCACACTACTCACCCTCTCATGATATGTCAAGTGTCACACTACTCACTCTATCGTGATATGTCCATTGTCACACTACTTACCCTCTCGTGATAGGTCAGGTGTCACACTACTCACCCTCTCTTGATATGTCAGGTGTCACACTACTCAACCACTCATGATATGTCAGGTGTGACACTACTCACCCTCTCATGATATGTCACGTTTGACATTACTCACTCTCTCATGATATTTCAGATGTCACACTACTCACCCTCTCATGATATGTCAGGTGTCACACTACTCACTCTCTCGTGATATGTCATGTGTCACACTACTTACCCTCTCAAGATATGTCAGGTGTCACACTACTCACCCTCTCTTGATATGTCTGTTGTCACACTACTCCCCCTCTCCTGATATGTAAGGTGTCACACTACTCACCCTCTCCTGATATATCAGGAGTCACATTACTCACTCTCATGATATTTCAGATGTCACACTACTCACCCTCTCATGATATGTCAGGTGTCACACTACTCACGCTCTCGTGATATGTCATGTGTCACACTACTTACCCTCTCATGATATGTCAGGTGTCACACTACTCACCCTCTCTTGATATGTCTGGTGTCACACTACTCACTCTGTCATGATATGTCAGGTGTCACACTACTCACTCTCTCATGATATATCAGGTGTCACATTACTCAACCACTCGTGATATGTCAGGTGTCACACTACTCACCCTCTCGTGATATGTCAGGTGTGACACTACTCACTCTCTCATGATATGTCATGTGTCACACTACTCACTCTCTCCCGATATGTCAGTGTCACACTACTCACCCTCTCATGAAATGTCAGGTGTCACACTAATAACCCTCTCATTAAATGTCAGTGCCACAAAGGCTCCCCGAGTAAGAGTTGGGGGAGGGGCTAGGGGGGGAGGGGGGCCTTGGATAGATTCAAAATGCAGGTTTGCATTGTGGCGCAGAATACATTTAGTTTGTCGGCCTGCGACACTACTTCTGAGAGCAGCCGGAGACCCACTAGTGGACATTTAGGTTGCCATAACCTCGTAGTTTTAATACAAATAATCAATTTTTTATAGTTTTTACTAATCTTCTTAAACAGACAGTAGACAGCAGAAAGTAGAGTAGACAGCAGACTGTAGACTGCAAACAGCAGACAGAAGGCAGTCGACAGGATACAACAGACAGTAGCGTAGACAGCAGACAGCAGACAGCTAACAATTATACAGTAGAAAGTAGACAGTAGAAAGTAGACAGCAGACAGTAGACAGTAGGCAGCAGCCAGTAGGCAGCTGACAGTAGACAGTAGGCAGCAGACAGTACGAATGACGACGAAATAACAAGAAGTAGAGAAGTAGATCACACGCTTGGGGAGACATGCGCGTGCGTGGCTGTGTGCTTGTTTGTTTTGTTGGTGTGTGCCACGCCGTCATTTGTAAGTTAAATTGAAAACACACACACACACACACACACAGACACACACATATATATATATATATATGTATATATTAGAAATATATGTATTTTTTTTCCATGACAACGCAGACGTGACCACGGAAGAATGGTGGTACTACATCCTGGCAGGACTTCTGGGGCTGATAGTCTTGACCCTCGTGATTGCCGCCCTGTGCCACTGCTGTTGGTGAGTACCCACCGGAAGCCACGCCCGCCGTGACGTCAATGTTTATCCCAGGGGCGTGCGATATCAATCTTATTTTGTGAAGATAAAAAAAATGTCAGTTAGTTAGAAATAACTTAGTGAATCCATCACCCCCCCCCCCTCCTCGTCCCAACCTCAGCCGACTTTAACTTGTACTAGTGATGGCTTTAAGGCTCCATGTTGAGAGGGTTGACGCGAAAGATGAAAGCCACGCCCGCCGTGACGTCAATGTTTATCCCAGGGGCGTGCGATATCAATCTTATTTTGTGAAGATAAAAAAAATGTCAGTTAGTTAGAAATAACTTAGTGAATCCATCACCCCCCCCCCTCCTCGTCCCAACCTCAGCCGACTTTAACTTGTACTAGTGATGGCTTTAAGGCTCCATGTTGAGAGGGTTGACGCGAAAGATGAAAGTGACTATTGCTTTATCGCACCTTCTATCCGATGATGGAACATCGGGAAGAAAATTATATATATATATATATATATATATATTTATTTATTTATTTATTTATTTACACTGTATAAATTCTAGAATAAATGACCCGGTGTTACAGGATTAATGATGAAAGGAATACTTCGCTACTTATTTCCACCTTAAGTCTCTTCACCTAAAAATCCAAATTTTTTACCTATGTAAATGAATCTTGTTTTTCTGTATAGTTCAACAAAAAAAAAAAATATTAATAAAAAATTGAGATTTACTTCTCTACTTCCTTAAATTACATATTTAAGTTATAGTTAATTAGGATTTCGTTACGTCTATAAATGAATCTATGTTTAGATATTACGTTTCTCATAACATTGGATTTTGAGCATTTTTTTTCCTTTCATAGCATAATATTGGCCAATCCAAACATTTCTCCCGTCCATAATCAATAAAGGAAACTTCTTAAATAAGCATGCATTCCCCGTTAATCAAAAATATATATGCTATTTAAAGTACCTTTGTTGAATTAACGGATTTTGATATATTATTGACATTTTCGTTAAGAGCAGAATTCTAGTATTCAGTCTTTAAATCTCCCCAAAATTTCCCATGCCCCTAATCAGTATTGTGCGCAAAATTTTAAAATTCAAAAGCTCCTTATTTAAATAAAATCGTAACCACTATTTGTTCACCCTCCCCCCCCCCTTAAACCCGGTACTTTCAGGAATTAAAAAAAACAACAAACAAACATAAAATAACTACGAATCTATTTTTAAAGTTTAAATTTTCCCGCCTTTAAAACGATTGGGCCTTTAGATATTGCTACGCGTTCACATGAAAATGTCCCCCCCCCCCCCCCCCCCCCCCCCAACCCTCGCTCTTTTACATTGCGCTTTATATTCACGAAAAATATTCGAAATACATTTTTTAACCAATAAAAAAAATAGTGTTAGCGCTCAGCTATGTTCAACGCCACTGAAATGTAAATAAAAAATAAAAAAAATAAAAAAAATGACACTCTCAGTCTCAAAGAAAAATCTTAATTGCTATTCCCATTATTTTTTTTTTCCCAACTTCATTGAGTTATGAGGTTACATATTACGTAAATGGCTCTACATCTTCTCAACGCCCTTGAAATGGAGTTTGCGACATTAACGCAACACCTATTTATTTCATTCGGTTTTAAAACTATCTATATACAGATTACCGGTGTGTAACCGGCGTGTAACCTATTTGAAGTAATTGAGATATTGCCATTGTCATCAGATGCACCCACGCATTCTATGGCGTACCTTGCTCTGTAAGGGGAGTAAGAAAATGCAGACCCGCTTCCAGACCCCCCCCCCCCACACACACACCGACATTTTTATTTTTATTCAGCTGACGTATTAGCAACACCATCACGCTCTCACTGCCCAACACTGACCTCCATTACTATCCTAATGTCCCAACCCCTGCTTGACCACACGATAGACTTCTCTTTCTAAATTTTTTTATTTTCGTATATTTAAAGAATATGGATATCATAATTTTTTACTGCAATCTTTTACTCCATAATCAAAACTCAATCTCTAATATAATCAGATTTCGAGATTCTGATATTAAAATGTACGCCCCCCCCCCACACTATTAAAAACCAAATATTCACCGCCCATGTAACGTGTAAAACATAAAAGGGTAAAACAAATAGTTCATAAATTTATTTTTAATTATCTACATACTAATCTGCTCGACACATTTTTTTTTTGCCTCATCAAAATTTTGCTATTTGAACTACTTTTTGACGCCAAGCATCACATTTTTCCTGTGCAAATCTAATCATAAATTGCACATTTTATTTTTAAGTGGCAAACAAAAAAAAAACAAAACAACAACTATAAACTTTAAGGAAACAAACCTTAAATTTTGTGTGGTGTGTTAAAACAATATTTCGCAATAATTTAAACAGCGAGCAATCAGATTATTAATAACACATTTTTTTTTTAAAAAAGGAAGAGTAGAAGAAAATACATAATCAGTTTTGTCACGTTGTTACAATCAAGGAAACTTGATGCTGGCCCATTTCGTACCATTGCAGCCAGTAACATTCATTTAAGCATTAGGTACGGCAACTTCAAGTTAAAGTTAAAGCAATATAAACAAGGAATAGAAAGCACTCTTATATTTCAAACTAAGATATAGTGCCCCGGTCACTTCCCTTTTTTTTGTTTCGACTCAATTTTCAGGTGTCCCACTCACGTCGTGTCGGTGTATCCGTACGTTTCGACCCCATCCAAAGCAGGCAGAAGGGCACGCCGCTGGTGCCTGTGTTGTCGCCGACGTAAGATGTTGCTGAGGCTTGAGCCACGTGAACGTAAGGACAGCGTCTTCTGGGTAAGCCATTCGTTTCTTTTGTATCACGTGGGCCCTTTCCCCTTCAAAACCTGCATGATTGTTGTTGCGCAAGGGTATTTGTCTTGCAGGGTTGTTGGTCATATAGGCCTTTCTCATGCATGAATGTTGGCATGTTTGATCGTGTCATATAATATTATTGATATTGCTATCTATTATGATTGCCCATAAATGCATGATTGTTGTCATGTGTGATTGTCGTCATGCATGAGTGTGCCCTCCCCATTTTATTTGATCACTTCTCCACCGTACTCCCTCGTACTGCAAGTCCTCTGCCTGTCATTCTTTCTATCCGCCAATCTCTGTCTCTGCCATTCTCTCAATCTGTCAGTCTCTGACTCTGCAATTCTCTCAATCTGTCAGCCTCTGTCTCTGAAATTCTCTGAATCTGTCATTATCTGTCTCTGTCATCCATTCTATCTGCCAGTCTCTGTCTTTGCCATCTTCTCTGTCAGTCTCTGTCTCTGCTGCGTTTCAATCTGTCAGTCTCTTTCTCTGCCATTTTTAATCTGCCAGTCTCTGCCATTCTCTCAATCTGTCAGTCTCTGTTTCTGCCATTCTCTCAACCTGTCAGTTTATGTTATTCTCACAATCTGTCCGTTTCTGTCTCTGCCATTCTCTCAATCTATCATCCTCACACCCCCCCCCCCCCCCGGTTTGACTTGTGCTGTAAAATCCCGTCACGTGATCCAGGTCACCGATTACCTACTCCGCCAAACAGACGACAGGGGCCCTCACTCTGGGACGCACAGTGTCGTTTCGTCTGGTCACACTGGAACGCACGGGCCCACAGCAGGACGGGCGTATCTGCCAGCCAGTCAGGGGCGTACATCGGAGGTATCATGTGACCCCCAGAAATTCAACGCACTATCATTACGTTACATCGCCTTATGTTTGGGCCGCAAGTTTTTTTTTTCCCCCTCTAAATTTTTAAACTATATTTACAATACATTGATTCAGTGGCGTAGCTTAGGGTCGGTGTCATCCGGTGCGGTAAACTCATCGTGTCACTCCCCTCCTCTTCCCTCGACTTCCACGATGGATTTCTTCTTGTTAAAATTTGTTGAAATAGGTCCTCGGTATAACAATGACAAGAACAAAAACAAATTAACTGAGTGTCAGGGAGGTAAATGTATTGAAGGACTGTGACAATGTTACGTTCTAGTTCTGTTATCTTTTCTCTTTAGATTTACTTTATTGAAAATGTTCCTTTCCTGGTCGTCAAAGGTGCAAGCCTGTCAATCACATGATCAAAACCAATAACCGTCATCGCATCAATCGGATTGGATACATGTGTGGAAAATGAACACGTGATCGGTGAGACCGAACCTAGTGTGCTCTGTAAATATGTAAATTTTTTTTTTCAAAATGGAGGGGTCACCCTCCTGAGATGATGTCACACGGTGCGGTCTGCGACCCCGCTACCCTCTAGCTGCGCCACTGCATTGAAGTCAGCTACAAGCATCAACAACAACACATTTGACAACATAAAACAAGAACATAAAAAAAAAACACTGAAAAACTCAATTTCTCTACAAATTGCTCTTTAAGAAAACAACAAGGTAAAATCTCCACTTCATTTCCACCACCTCTGTCCACTTCGTGTATTTCTAAATCCAAAAAATAATTCGCCCCAGTGCCCATTTAAACCAGAGGGGGTAAATTAAGAATAGCGAGGTCATGAGGATGGTGAGGCTAATGAGAATGATAAGGTTAATGACAATGGAGAGGTTAATGAGAATGATGAGGTTAATGAGAATGGTGAGGTTAATGAGAATGGTGAGGTCATGAGAATGGTGAGGTCATGAAAATGATGAGGTTAAAAAGAATCGTGAGGTTATGAGAATGGTAAGGTTAATGAGAATGGTGAGATTAATGAGAATGGTGAGGGTTATGAGAATGGTGAGGTTAATGAGAATGGTGAGGTTAATGAGAATGGTGAGGTCATGAGAATGATAACGTTAAAAAGAATGGTGAGGTTAATGAGAATGGTGAGGCTTATGATAATGGTGAGGTTAATGAGAATGGTGAGATTAATGAGAATGGTGATGTTAATGAGAATAGTGAGATTTAAAGAGAATGGTGAGATTAATGAGCATGGTGAGGGTTATGAGAATGGTGACGTTAATGAGAATGGTGAGGTTAATGAGAATGGTGGGGTTAATGAGAATGGTGAGGTCATGAGAATGGTGAGGTCATGAAAATGATGAGGTTAAAAAGAATCGTGAGGTTATGAGAATGGTAAGGTTAATGAGAATGGTGAGATTAATGAGAATGGTGAGGGTTATGAGAATGGTGAGGTTAATGAGAATGGTGAGGTTAATGAGAATGGTGAGGTCATGAGAATGATAACGTTAAAAAGAATGGTGAGGTTAATGAGAATGGTGAGGCTTATGATAATGGTGAGGTTAATGAGAATGGTGAGATTAATGAGAATGGTGAGGTTAATGAGAATAGTGAGATTTAAAGAGAATGGTGAGATTAATGAGCATGGTGAGGGTTATGAGAATGGTGACGTTAATGAGAATGGTGAGGTTAATGAAAATGATGAGGTCATGAGAATGATGAGGTTAAAAAGAATGGTGAGGTTATGAGAATGGTAAGGTTAATGAGAATGGTGAGGTTAATGAGAATGGTGAGGGTTATGCGAATGGTGAGTTAATGAGAATGGTGAGGTAATGAGAATTGTGAGGTCATGAGAATGATTAGGTTAAAAAGAATGGTGAGGTTATGAGAATTGTTAGGTTAATGAGAATGGTGAGGTTAATGAGAATGGTGAGGGTTATGAGAATGGTGAGGTTTATAAAAAAAACGCAACAAAACAGCGAACGTGTCGGCAGAAAGCCTTCGTCAGCGAACAAAACAACAGCACTTAGCTGGTAGTGTTGATGTAGCTTCCCAAAGATACTATTTACCAGCTAAGTGCTATTTCTTATTTTTTTTTGTATACCATTTTTTCTGTTGTTTTGTTCGCTGACGAAGGCTTTCTGCCGACACGTTCGCTGTTTTGTTGCGTTTATTTGTTCAGGTTTAACCTTTACTTTTTTTTTTAGTCATTTCATTTTGATGCTATGAAGTCGACTGAAAACAATACTTATGTGGGGCGCCATTGTTTTTCGTGCAGGTACATTCTAAGAGCAGCGCAGCCGACGGCATGACGTCAGTGGAGAGTCCGCGTGAGGTCCAGGTGTATCGCAACGTCCGGCCGGCGAAAGACCCCGGCAAAGTCTGGCTGCCCCACAAACACAATGTCCGAAACATCAACACCAGTACCAAGTAACCCGAAGTGGGCCAGTCACGTGACACAGCCTTGGAGAAAGGTCAAGGTTCGCGTAACGTGAGCTCTCAAACTCACGTGACATGTCAATGTGCCATGGACACTGAGTAGATACAACTTGTCACAGATGTGTAACGTTGCTTCTTAAGTCTTAATGGAGTCTGACATCTAAATACTTTGAAGACAAATGTGCCGCGCATTCATTAAGAAAAAGACCATTCTCACCAAAAAATAAGTAAAGATAAAAATAAATTAGTTATATCCTTCAACCACTCTAGGTATGAAATTGGACAAGGTGTCAAAATACTGGCGAGCCAGTGGGAAAATATATATATATATATATATATTATATATATATATATATATATATAAAAATAATTATACATAAAATATATATGATATTGTACATTACGTAACTGAATGAAAAAAAATTTGGTCACTGTTTTATCCTTATATCAATTCTTCATTTACAAAAAATTACGCAATTGTCACGTCTACAAGACATTTTAAAACTCTAATGAAATACATTGAAGAACAAAAAATACAGACAGCTCATGAAAATGAAAAAACAAAGGTGATTTTGGAAGAAATACATAATTGGTTAAATGAATTATTAAAACAGCGCCAAAAAAGAAGCTAAAAAATACTCTCAGGTCTTAGAAATTGAAGTTATCACAGAAAACAATAAGCATTTAAAAATAAGGGAAGCTGCTTTTCTAAACCAGCGGTTTCTAAAATGTAGAATTGATTTTCTCCTCGGAAACAAATTTAATAAAAAAAAAAGAGATCAGCAAAAATTAATTGTTGTACTTTTTCTTTTTTTGTTAAATGAAAACATTCATTGTTAAAATGTGTACCATGTCGCATCATTGAGTAGATCCTCGTTTTAAAATTATAAACCTATATTGTTAGCTGACTAGTAGGCCTACTCATTATTTTAATCTCTGTTACAAGAATCCAAGACAGAGAGATAGAGAGAGTAAAATCAAAACTTATTTAATAAACAAAAAAAAAAAGAAAAACAAAAAAAGAAACAATTATATTTTAAACACGTAGGTGACCCCCATACGTATTTCTACATTCGTTACATTGTTCAGTCTAAACGTACTTTGGTTCATAATGTAACGTATTTTTTTTCAAATCTCCTGATTGTACCATATTTAAATTAACCTTCAGCCAACCTTGCAGTCCTGACATCCACATAAGTATGACCGTTACGTACTTGATAATCTGCATCCACACGTCTCAGTCACTGTATATTAGCAGAAGTCCAACCTCAAAACATCATTGATTTATTAACAAATCACACAATAAGGAATCTATTTCAAATTGTTTAATAATAGAGTAATGACTTATTGAAGTACAGTCACAATACACCCAATCCTTTTAGCTTGGTAACAGTCGCTCAACTGCCACCTCGACATCAATTACAATATGTCTTCTCCAGGGCTAACACTCAATTTTTTTTTTTAAATTCCAAGATTTTGCCAAAATTTTTCCCAAGACTTACCAAGAATATATCAGAGTTTTTTTGTAAAAGTCTTGGGAATTTTTTTTAAAAAGTGAGTTTTTGTCCTGAATGGGGTAGTGAATACCCAAGATCTTGGGACCATTCCCAAGGTGTGGCAGCCCTGGTCTTCTCTTCTACTTCCGCTTTGTCTATCTTATTGGTCTATGCAACGTTACTCTCCCACGAAATGGTTCTATTCATTCAATTCTTCATGTCAATCAAATATGGATATGTTACACGTCCCCAACATCAAACACAAATTTTGGGAAACAAAATCTTTAGAAAAAATTAGTTATATCATCTAACGTGTGATGTGCACCAATGTCAGTCCTGATTAAATCTGACTTAATTGATTTTTGAATCCTAATGTACAATTCTTTAAGATGCAAAGTTAAAAACATTATTGCATTGTATACGTTTGAAATTAATTTAGTCTTTGAATATTCACCAGACGCAATTAAAAATTTACAAATTTCTTGAATATGATTATTTCAACTGTAATTCTAACATTGAAGTGAAAATTGTATAACCTTGCGCTAACATGCTTCATTGTTACTTCTTTGTCAATAGCCTTAAGTTCTATTTGTCTTGACTAAAAAATCTGCTTTTGCCCTCAATAGTTTTCATTTCATATTGATAGTCTAATTTCGCTGTTAGAAAGGTAGTCCAACAGCCTAACGGGCAGTGTGTTGATCTTGCTGTCAGATAGGTGGTCAAACAGCCTAACGGACCGTGTGGTGATCTTGCTGTTAGATAGGTGGTCCAACAGCATAACGGACCGTGTGTTGATCTTGCTGTTTGATAGGTGGTCCAACAGCCTAAGGGACCGTGTGGTGATCTTGCTGTTAGATAGGTGTTCCAACAGCATAACGGACCGTGTGGTGATCTTGCTGTCAGATAGGTGGTCCAACAGCCGAACGGACCGTGTGTTGATCTTGCTGTCAGATAGGTGGTCCAACAGCCGAACGGACCGTGTGTTGATCTTGCTGTCAGATAGGTGGTCCAACAGCCGAACGGACCGTGTGTTGATCTTGCTGTCAGATAGGTGTTCCAACAGCATAACGGACCGTGTGGTGATCTTGCTGTTAGATAGGTGTTCCAACAGCATAACGGACCGTGTGTTGATCTTGCTGTCAGATAGGTGGTCCAACAGCCGAACGGACCGTATGTTGATATTGCTGTGAGATAGTTGGTCCAACAGCCTAACGGACCGTGTGTTGATCTTGTTGTTCTTCAATCAGTCATTATTCTATTGTTGATCAATGTTGAATTTATTCTTGATTGTGTGACTTGTTAATAAACCAATAGCATGTTCCAATCGGCCTTCCGTTGATATCAATATATACATAGTGTGTGCTAAACGTAGGTCATCGTGTACGCATTATAACTCTAATAACACTGACGCTCATGTTAATATGGATGTCAGGACTGCAGTGTAGCCTGATTATTGAACTATGGTAAAACCAGAAGATTTTCCATAGATTACAAATGGTACAACAACAACGACACAAATCCCAGCCTCTTTGATCATCCTTTGTCTTTTAGTCTTCAGTGTAGTGAAAGTGAAAAAAAAATCACTTACACATAATACATCAACACGCACACGCCCAATCACAAATCAATGACCTCCCACACAGCCTCCACAACTTCCTCTATCTGGTGCTGGCCAGCCGTCCACAGAACCTTCTTCCCTTTTCTGTTTACTGCTTGGTCGCGTGTTTTCTCGATGCTGAAAAAATAAATATTCTCTTTGTGACATTGCAATGATTTGGGATTCCCTGATATTTAATTATCAAAGATACTTTACATATATATATAAATAATATATAAATATGTATATATATGATCAAATATTATCAACACTCTCTAGGGACTAAACTTTTGATCATCATCTGCAAGCTTCTTAACTAAAGCAATGTCCACCATTACTTAATTACAAGTCATTGAGATTACATGGGACGTTCGTTACACAGAGAAGATATTAATGCATGAGAAGTCAAGATAAGGTGCTGGGTGGCCTCTAATATAAGAAGATAACATTGTTTGTACCACAGAGAAGATATAGATGTTTGGGTGAGGACTCAAGATAACAGGACTGAGTACTGACACATGGCTGAGTACAGACACAGGGCTGAGTGGTGACACAGGGTTTAGTACTGACACGGGGCTTTGTGCTGTTAAAAAAAGCGTTACAAAGACTCACTGATATGCCTTCAGCATAAGCCCTACACAGCCCAGGACAGAGCCAGGTGAAGCTAAAAGCTCCGAAAAGAGCAACATTATGTCATAGATTATTCCGAGCAAGGATCGGTCTTGCATGCCTACTACGAGCTCACTGTAATCCCAACCTCGATGGTCCTAGTCAACTTCTCTGGTCTGCTCTTTCACATTCTTCCATTCATACAACAATTCAGTATGCGCGAACCTGCAGCAGTTGTGAATCTGTTTAAATGTTAAGCAGGACAAAATCGCAAATGATTCATAAAGAACGGATCTACACGTGCGATTGTAGAGAGTAATGTTGGTTGCCTGAACAGTACCTGCGATCAATGTGGCTTTAACATCGGCACAGATGAGATTGACTACAGAGTTGGCGGTTTTTTATCAGAGGTGTGAGGCATTCTGGTATGTCATGTCGTGGATTTAAAGAGGTCTTTGACACCTAAGATCTTTTGATGCCGTCGTCTTCCTCGGGCAATGAAAACTAAAGGTTGTAGAATACTTGAAGTGAAGGTTTGTTTCTACGATTACTGTCCGATTACTGTCCGTTTACTGTCCGTTGGCCAAACCAGCTCATTTGTTTGTGGCCATATAATGGTTACGGCATGGCACAAACGATCTGTCTTAATTTCTTTATTCCGAATGTTGTCACTTCACATTGCAGCGGCTCTCCATCTGCGGACATGTCATCTGGCACGCGAATGGTTGTTTTCTCGAGAGATCTATTGATGGCCCAAGTCTGGTCGTTGTGAGGAAGAGTTGGAATAAAGACACCATTTATTAGCTTGATGAAATCGTACAACAACGTGTGCTAAGCTAGACTCAACAGACAGAACGAATAAGCTTGGGACGTTTCGGCTTCAGAGACTTCATCAGCAACCAAAAACGAATAGAAGTAAGACAAGTAACAGAGCACAGAAAAAAACCCACCAACAACACCAAAGTTCTGAGATCTTCTACTTCCGCCATCTACAAAGGTCTCCATCTTTATTCTATGTCGTTGCAGGTCTGATTGGTTTATGCATACGGGTGCTTTCTGCATTCTCCTCTGCATCTCTCTCTGTTTATTTTCCGTTTTAATCCCTAGCAGGTCATAGCTGCGGGACGACTACATGTTGTGCTGAGAAAACTGACCCTTGACCTCAGCCAACACTTCGTCTTTGTGACGCGTCCCCAGTGGAAGCCAACAGAAGAAAATACGTATCCACTGATTGGACACACGTGATCTGACCGTAATGTTGAATTGACTTTAAAATAGTAAACAATGAACATAATTAAGGAAAAAAAAAAGATAACAAGCTTACCTAGTGCCGACCTTTGGTCGGAGCATTTTGTGAATGCGACCACAACATTCGTTGTTAACCCTCGGACATCCTATATAATTTGTAAAAAATATGGGGGGGAAAAAAAAGAAATTTGTAAACATATGGCTTTAAAACAAAATGAAAGCTGTTGGTAATCAAGACATAATTTGTATTTAAAAAAATAATGTTTGGAAACATCATAAAGTCACAAAGCTTACAGAATAAAAGGGAAAAAGTATGTGCGACTGTTAGATTTTCTATTTATATGTTAATATAAACTAAATTAGTTTAGAAGAATTGAAATCACCAAAGGTTTCATCGACCTCTACACCCCCCCCACCCCACTCCCTCAAACCCCAGTAAACGTTATGTGTCAAATAATTGCGTCCTTACATTTTTTTTGAAATGTGAAATCTGAAAGAAGTCATTGTCAAGATGTATTAGATCACCATGTCACTCAAGAAGTTGTCGCTAGTAAGATGTATTACATCTACATGTCACTCAGGAAGAAGTCATTGTTAAGATGTATTAGATCTACTTGTCACTCGTGAAGAAGTCATTGTTAAGATATATTCGATCTACATGTCACACAAGAAGAAGACATTGTTAAGATGTGTTAGATCTACATGTCACTCTAGAAGATGTCATTGTTAATATTATTAAATATACAGGTCACTCAAGAAGATGCCATTGTTAAGATGTATTAGATCTACATGTCACTCAAGAAGATGTCATTGTTAAGATATATTAGATCTACATGTCACTCAAGGAGAAGACATTGTTAAGATGTGTTAGATCTAGATGTCCCTCTAGACGATGTCATTGTTAAGATATATTAGATCTACATGTCACTCAATAAGAAGCCATTGTTAAGATGTATTAGATCTACATGTCACTCAAGAAGAAGCCATTGTTAAGATGTATTAGATCTACATGTCACTCAAGAAGATGTCATTGTTAAGATGTGTTAGATCTACATGTCATTCTAGAAGACGTCATTGTTAAGATGAATTAGATCTACATGTCACTCTAGAAGATGTCATTGTTAAGATGTATTAGATATACCTGTCACTCAAAAAGAAGCCATTGTTAAGATATATTAGATCTAGATGTCACTCAAGAAGATATCATTGTTAAGATATATTAGATCTACATGTCACTCAAGAAGAAGACATTGTTAAGATTTGTTAGATCTACATGTAACTCTAGACGATGTCATTGTTAATATATATTAGATCTACATGTCACTCGAGGAGAATCCATTGTTAAGATGTATTAGATCTACATGTCACTCAAGAAAAAACCATTGTTAAGATATACTAGATATACATGTCACTCAAGAAGAACCATTTTTAAGATTTATTAGAACACCTTGTCACTCTAGAAGATGTCATTGTTAAGATGTATTAGATCTAGATGTCACTCGAGGAGAAGCCATTGTTAAGATGTATTAGATCTACATGTCACTCAAGAAGAAGCCATTTTTAAGGTTTATTAGATCACCATGTCACTCTAGAAGATGTCATTGTTAAGATATATTAGATCTACATGTCACTCAAGAAGAAACCATTGTTAAGATATTTTAGCTCTACATGTCACTCGAGGAGAAGCCATTGTTAAGATGTATTAGATCTACATGTCACTCAAGAACGTATCCAGTACCAATATCAAGCTACTAATTTACTATTTTACATAGTTCACCCCTTGAGCTATACGAAATGTAAAGGTACCAATGCCTTTGTGGTCATTCAAAGAGGACGATTTAGCCCAGGGTCATGTCTAGAAAGGTCCCCTTAACGTCGTCCGGTATCCATGACATAAATGGGTTCAGCCAGTATGCATTGCCCGTGGTTTCATTCGCTATCATCAAACACAAAATTTAAAACGTTTAAAAAAAAATTAAATAATTTCACTAGCCTCTGTTAAACAAGTAGACACCGGCTTTCACTATGATAGCCACAACAGCGATCCCTGAGACGACTGCGAACACTGCTGTTGATGTTTTAAAATCACTGACTTCTTGTTCCAGCTGGTCTCTAGTCGGAGAGTCCTTTCTGGGCGCTGTGGGGGTTCCGAGGTCTGTCTGGATCGTTGGTACTGTGGGTGTCGCGGGCGTGGCAGATGAGGGAGGTTCTGTATATGTTTCTGGTGTGGATGGGGTTGTCTGTGTTGTTGAGGTTGCTTGCATTTGCGGTGACCATTGTAACGGTACCTCATCTAAAAATACAAAAGAGAGAGGACAAAAATGTTTAACAAAATTGTACGGGGCGGTACACACTGTTTGATACTTAGAAAGAAGAGGCAAGTCTGGTAGGGTACACACTGGTTGATACTTAGAAAGAAGAGACAATTCGTGTAGGGTATACACTGTGTGATACTTAGATAGAGGAGACAAGCCTAGTACGGTACATACTGTTTGATACTTAGCGGAAGTGAGAAGACTGGTATGGGTACACACTGTTTGATAC